TTAATCTCTCCTCACCCACTCCCCCACCCCTGCCTTCTCTCTGAGGTTCCTCAGTCTGTTCCATGCTCTTTGTCTCTGGATCTGTTTTGTTCATCAGTTTATTTTGTTGATTAGGTTCCACGTATGAATAAGATCATGTGATACTTGCCTTTCTCTGACTGGCGTATTTCACTTGGCATAATACTCTCCAGGTCCCTCCATGCTGACTCAAAGGGTAAGGGATCCTTCTTTTTTACAGCTGCATAGTGTTCCATGGTGTAAATGTCTGAGAAGATGTTTGATATGATTTCAGTCTTCGTGAACTTGTAGAGACTTATTTTGTGTCCTAACATTTGGTTCGTATTTGAGAATGACCCATGTGCACTCGAGAAAGTTTTCATTGTCACTTTTTTTTCATTGGTGGTGTTCTTCTGTAGGCTAGTAGGCAGCTTGAATATTTGATCAGTTGTCTACTTTTCTCACCAACAATTTTCCCTAGATATGACTGCCTTCTTGGCCAGCCAAAAGCTTCTTTAAAGCCTTATATATTGTAGATTTCTTTCTCTACCCCTTGTGGTCTTGTTACTATTCTTTTCAGATTAGATAGGGGACATAGACTTTTTTTTAATGTTAACTTTAATGACAGTTCTGTTTTGTTCCTAGACATGGGACTGCTCTGTACATGATATGCCTACTACAAAGTCTGTCTTATAATTTAATTCTCTGCCAGTTTCCAACCTTGCATTCCTTGTATTTCCATATGCTTCTCTTTGGTACCATTGTATTTTTCTCCCTGCCTTAAAGAGTCCGTTGATTGATTTAGAAATTAATACCGTCTTTCTGTTGGCCTCTTATTTCTTTATATGTGTAACGAGGATTTGAATTAGTTGATTTCAAATACACCTCCTTCAGTTAGTGATTTCTTTGAAGGGTTATGTTTCTAAACTTTTTTCTTTTCTCTTTTTTTTTTTGTAATTTATCCATTTAAAAGTAATTAGGGAAAAGCTAAATTTTTAAATTGTTTTGAATCTTTTGTTAAAAGATGTTGATCCTCACAAAAGTCTGCACATGAATGTTTATAGCGCCTTTATTCATAATAGCCCCAAACTGGAAGCAACCAAGATGTTCTTCAGTAGGTGAATGGATGAACAAAGTGTGGTGCATTCATACAATGGGACACTATGCAGCAATAAAAAGAATGAGCCATAAAGCCATAAAAACACATAAGTGAACCTTAAGTGCATATTAAGTGTGAGATTCCACCTCTATTACATTCTGGGAAAAGCAAAACTATAGAGGTAGTAAAAAGATCAATTATTGTCGAGGTAATTGAGGGGGAGATGGAGGGGGGATAAATAGGTGAAGCACCCAAGAGTTTTGAGAGCAATAAACTAATCTATATGATACTGTAATTGTATCTGTCAAAAAACTGTACAAGAGTGAACCCTAATGTAACCTCTGGACTTTAATAATGATGTAACAAATGTACCACACTAATACAAGATGTTAATAGTAATAGTAACTATATATGGGATGGAGGTGGGTTGGGTAAATGGGGAGTACCTATGTGGGAACTCTGTACTTTCTGTACAATTTTTCTGTAAACATAAAACTTGTTCTAGAAAATAAAAACCTATTAATTAAAAGTTACTGATGCCTGATAAAGAGTTCATAAAATTGACTATACGAAGTAATCTAATAATCATAGGTAGTATCGAACTAATGCAACAAAACCTTAAGTGAAGATGTTTCTTTTTTGTTAAAACTTAATTCTCATTCTGCCCCTCCCCCACCTTTTTTTTTTTTTTTTTTTTTTAAAAA